CATATTTTGTGGAAGTTGTGGATAAGGCACAAGTTGGTCTAGAGTACGAAAGATCATGGCATATTTTGTCCCAATTTTATTTGTTTTCTAAAGGTTAACAATGCGTAAAGCGAATGCGAAGAAATTAAAGAGAGCGAATTCTGAACAAAATACCTATACATTTGGACACTTCTTTCTTTCAGTGCACAAGAAAACAATCTTATGTGTTATCGCGTAGATCTAGCCGTCACTGCAGCTTTTGCCCAAGGTTAGAAATCACCACAAGCTTTCCTCTGTAGGGGGTTTTTTTTCCAAAAAGCACACACCCTGCAATTATATGGTTTGTTTGCGTTGAAATTGCATCTCTCCGGAAAAGCGATACAAGGCTTAATTTCTTCGGATAGGATTGCTTAAGCACAGTGAAATACGAGCACACGAAAACTTATAGCATTCATATCTCTATGGATTCGCATTACATGTATTTATGGTCGTAAGAGTTAGCTATACCGTATTTATGCATTTCTTTTAAAAGTTGAGTGCTTATGATCCCAAATCCTATTAAGAATTAAAAAGCAGATAGTGGACATCTCATGTTATCCCGATAAAAGTGGTATTTAACCTGTGATCATGCAGCCAAATGCTAGCATTTCCAAACCTACTCTAAATTCTCGGATTTTTTCGGATTTTTGTATGCAATTTCTTTAAAACAACCCATAGATATCAGCAGATGCGCTAACTAATTTGCACGAACACCTAGCAAATTTATGCTGGGGGTATGATTACAAGATTAAGGTAAGTATACTTTGAGGCTTGGCCGGAAGACAAGTGGAAAAAAAATTCTTTGTTTAAAAAAAAATTTAGCATTTTTCGGAGTAGCCTAAAAACCATAATTTTGAATAGCAGAGATCGCTATTCCCTCTATAACGTTACCTCAGGTGCACTGTTCAGGACGGTTTCTACAGTAGCCTTCTTTAATATGAATCACCCTGGCCAAGAGTCTTATTTTGCAAGCTTAGCAACTTAGAGTTATGTAGCAATCAGGGCAATAACATAGAAAATCAATTTTTAGGAATTAAAAGGATTGGTAAGCTGTTATTATTATCAGAAGCTGTAATCCTACAAAGATTGATTTTCTAGAATTCCACTCTGATTTCTGCACCTAGAATTTTCTTTTGTGGCTTTCTCCGGCTCCATGAGATTTCCCAATTCCAGGTTTCCTCGTCGCATTCAAACCGGGCCGATAGATACCTCGAGCGATTTGTTTGACCAGCCATCAAACCACAAGACCACCTAATGTGAAACACAATCGCACTACGCTATGTTTCGCACACGCAATGCTTCCGCTTTTTATTCGCCTCTGCAAAATCAATATCGATTGCATTGTAGAGCTCTATTGTGCTCCAAACATAGTCAATCACGATGGGTGTTTGGTGATTTTTGACGTAGAGCTATAGAATTGAAGCAGTGCGATTCGAATTTGCACAACAGTAGCAGCAGCAGAGCACACCACAGAGGGTGGAAGCACCATCCGTCAACGAGAACGGTCAACGATGTGTTGTTTACACAGCGAACGCAATTATTTTCGGAACCATACGAGTGATTTGGAGCGCTGCTACTCTGCATCTCTTATCTAGAGTACTGTAATTTTTATAGCCAATTATATTCTAGAGGTCCTCGAAATAGGTCAACCTAGGTCGGAATTAAATACTACAAAATGAAGCGTATTTACAGCATCTTTAACGAGGTTATTGCTAATTTAACTCACTTTTGAGGCGAAGTTTTTTCTACTAATCGATAATCGATTGCCTTACCTGTAGATCAGCTTCACAGGCTAATTTAGCCAGACTACAATGGACAATTGGAGCCATAGGAAGGAAATGACACGTCTTTAATTCTTCCCGTCCTGGTATACATGATGCGTCAGATCTGAAAAAAAAACAGCATAAAAACTAAAAAATCCAAATTCAATGAATTAATCTGCATACTTTAATAATGTTCTTCCAAGTTTATTCTGATAAACATTTAGAACAGCATTTCGACATTGTGGTTGACATGTGCCGGTCGTACTGTAAATATCAAACAATAATTCATTACCATACACTATAGAGTAGGTATTCAACCTAACCTGTTCAGGGTAATGCGCTATTCTATTCAATTTTGAGCTCTTATTTAACCCGCTATTTATTATATAGTACTGAAATCTTTTGCTCGATCCGGCGGCCTCAAATCACCGGGAAAACGTTGCGATCCATCTAGGCGTTTCATGCATGCATCAATGAACATTATCATTCCCTCCTTTAAAAAACCAAAGATCGTACTTTTATCATTGTTATATTGATTTATTGATTCCCCGCATAGCTACTCCTGTGGGGCTTTAGAATTTCGGGTTAGGCTCCTTCACTTTTGTTTCTTCACAAGA